ATATGTTTGCGTCCAAAGGTAGGTATTGTATGTAAGATATATTTTTTTGTAAAAACACTGGCGTAGCATGAATACTGAATAGCTGCTGTTCGGGGTCCCCAGAGCTAAATATAATTTTTTTGTTCGTAATATTATCCCATGGGTGTCGTAAAGGTCCACATGGGAAAAACCAGGAAAATATATAGCGTCACATTCTTTGCAGAGAATGTGACGCTATATATTTTCCTGATTTTGTCTGCATCCAGTACTGATCCACTCTCTGCTGAACAAAAGCTTTTGTATACAACTTATTATTAACTTGCCTTTGCTGATTTTAACTCTGTGTTTCGGACGGTAGGTCTGGAGAAGCGGAGATCTTTTTTACTGGATACGAAGCATTCCATCTTAGTTCTCACGGGTGACAGCGCATCTGCATTTTGATTCTTCATCGAGGATTGATGTATGTCAATGGGTCCCCGACCCAGCAGGTGGACCGTGCGCTCGTTAGTTACCCTAATTCCATAAAAAATACAACACTCAAGGGGTGAAATGAAGTGTAAAATTCTAAAGAATTCTTATACAATTGTCGGATGATAATTGATAACGCTACATTTCACATTTTATTAAACTTTTATTAAGCATTGTTTCATTGAGTACAATATGCTTTCTACTTCAGTAAATAACAATGTCCTTGAGACCGAATTTCGGTCAGTCTCAACGGGAACTGGCCACCTGCGCAGGACAGCATCAAAGAGCCCGAATGCACGCACAGTGCACTCTCTGCTCCCTCACGCTCATAGCTCGATGGTCAGCAAACCGACTCGACCGACGAGAAAACAGGCGCAGGACCAGCAGTTCTAACTGCTTTCCGAGGCATTGGGATAAAAAACCGCCAGCTTCTGACTTCAAGCAGCTACTGAGAATTTCATAACAAAAAAACCTAATAACTGATTTTAGCCCGACCTGGGATTCGAACCCGGGATCTGATGATCAGCAACTGAGCTTACGATTAACGAGGTTTACATTAGACCAACGCGGCAGTGAGACTACTTCGGTACGACATACCTCCTCATGCTCGTTATATACAACATATACGAGTATACCTATAGTTATTAGCCCAATCATAATATTCTTTTTATTTAATAGAATTCTCCTCAAATGTGATCCTGTTTAAATTGGAAAAATAATTGATAGATATATTTATCTTTTTTATTCCCTATTGGGAATAAAAAATTTAATGTTAAACATTCGCTGCCCGCGGTGCAATAACATGGGGAAACAGGACTGTTACGTTGCCTTGCGGCAGGCCTGCAGTAAGACCGTTTGGTAATTTCGAGTGGTGAGTGCAGAGAATCGGAGACCCTTTTTACTGGAAACGAGGCATTTCAACCACAGGGCTGACAAAGCATCTGGATTTTCATTTTAATTCAAACGAATGTAGATGTCTATCAACCACATCTACTTTACCATGGGGTGGACTGAGTGCCCATCTGTCACACTTATTCTATAAAAAAAATCTTCATTCATGATAAACTTGTACCATATTCACGGCTCGATGGCCCCGATTTATACTCAAACAGAAAAAACGCTTAACTATTTATCATAAGTTATGATTTTCATGATTTTTATTCATTTACGTATTTTATAATTTATATCTATAAATGGGTTATTCAAAGTAATGTTATAATATGTTGTGCGTAGAAAAAAATAACGGCATTTTTGCACTGTAAACTGTTCCAAGTGATAAAACAAATTTCCGAAATTGAGCAAAAAAATCCTCGCAAATTTGTGAACACCGACTAACCTTTTTCACTCTCATGATGACGGCGTGCACTTCTCGAGGAGATGACACCGACTGTTGTGTGCTATCCTAAGACCATTTAGTTATCTGAAATGTTCTCTGCGGGTGACACAAGCGGGTCAAATACGCAACCGGGGTCGATGCGGGCGCGCGGGGTGCGAGGACTACTATTTTGCGATAATGTTGATTTGATTGTAATCTTTCAATGAACTTGTAATATTTAGCAGATAAATATTTTATTTTGTACTTATTTGTGTTAAATAGTCGGTCATTAATAAGTACTCGTATACCTCGAACATCGATACTTAAAAACAAGAGAGTACAAAAAGTACTTACGTTTTACCAGTGCTCTAGAGGTAGGACAGACAAGACTACGTGTAGTCGGGCCGTGCTGATTCAGTTTTTAGAATCTGTCGAAATGATTCGACCAATCATCTAATTAGCCGTGTTTTCGCGATCAACATATATTTTTTCCGAAAATTCGATTTATCTTATTATTATCTTATGACATATATAAAGTACACATAATTCTATTTAATTCTCTAGTACATAGTCAGGAATCTATGTATTTAATGAATGCCGTAAAGGAAGTATGTGTCAAATTGACAATTAATTGTATTTCTTGTTGAAGGTAATTGAATAATTAATATTTAATTATTTAATAAATTAATTAGTCAATAAATTAGACATATTATGAAGATAAATAAGATTTAAGTGCCTTTATAATAAAAATACTACTTTTAAATTATAAAAATAATTTTGTCTCTCACAAAGGACTTCATTATTTTGACAGTTACCTTTAAATTGCCATAAAGTAGTAACTCCATTATTAGTTGATAACTAATTGTTGCATATTTTTTAATACAACGACATTTACTTTGTAAATTTCTGAGCTTGTATATTTTACTAATACTCATAACACGTTTACATCCTAAATATATACAATGTCAGAACATGTATAATTAGCCTTGTAGAATCTCTTAACTAATTTACTGAATTAGCGTTAGAAAGTATACACGACTAGTACGCAGAAATCGTGTATATTTTCTGAAAATGTTATTTGCTGCACATTCTGAACAACATATCCAGACGAATAACTGACTGCCATGTTAATGATGAAAACTTGATGTCTGTGTCTGATCACAAAAACAACTTTTAAAATTGTTGCTTTTAGGGATCCAATAGCGACTTCCTGGGATGTCTACAGAGATAGCCTATGGAGTAATTTGGAAAAGTTTCCTAAAATCAGTAAGACGATTAAAGGTCTAGAGTTAGCGACGGATACAGTAACCGTATGTATTCGAGAAGACTTCGAGGACAGTTGTCACGTCAAAACCAAGACCTCAACACAAAAAGTTCCTAGGTGGAACATTAAGCTAAAGGAGCTTAGGGAAATACCGCGATAAATGGCGGTAAAACAATCTCCTTTACGCCAGTCGTAAGTAATCCAGACCGACGATTAGGAGCGGCGTCAAAAGTGCTAGACATATGAAACTGCAGTCGGCAGACCGCCTATCAAGTCTGGCGATTAAGAAAAATTCTTCTCACAACAGGAGATGCCCGTGCCTAGCTTACTGCATCCTTTGCTTTGTTCCGGCCTGCACAGCCCGTCCATGTCAAACCTCAGAGGTGAAAACCAACCTGCAGCCGTCTTCGTTTGAAGCTGCTGGCGGCTGCAGCAGCCACGTGCTGTTGCATCAACTGTTGAGGTTAGCTCATTGCTGATATTACAAAAAAAGTCAGGTGTTTACGATACTTAATATTTATTTTTAAATTGTTTTCTCAAATATTATACATTATTCTATTATACTTAAATAATAAACAAATGTTTTTAGTAAAAATTCATTAAAATTATAAGTACTTACAATATTTATTTACATAACATTAATATACATAATATTTCTATATATTATGTAAACATGTATAATTATATATGTTATTTTCCAATCATCACAACATATTCCTACAATTGATAACTTAATAACACTAATAAACAAATTAAGAATAATATAATTTATTAATAAATTTGTTTATTTATTTTTTTATTTTATTTTATTTATTTTATTTATTGGATTACTAACGTAAGATACAGCCAACTCAGATAAATACAAATTATTTGTTACATAGTACAATAGGTAACTGTTCTCACATTTATAAGTAACCACATCATGCGTTTTATCCTGTTATCCTGTGAAAACATTATAAAGATTGTGTAAGTTAAAACAAGACAAAGGTCAATCACGATAGTTACGATAAAGGTGGATGTCAATATCCGAATTCTTCCCAACATATTCATTGTACAAGCGGGTAGCGCGGACCAACGGTGAAAAACGACCCAAATTAGTTCTGGATAGCCTGGACTTAAACAATTTGCATGGATATCTGGGGATTCTGGCGGGGACATTGTATGTTAGTCTATTAAGCAAAGGCGGACAATCGATAGATCCATTAACTATTTTGTGTAAAAATTTTAAATCTAAATGAGCTCGACGTTCTGTAAGTTTTATGAGATTGAAGTGCTTTAATTTCTCCTCATATGTTTTGGTAGTTATAGGTGCTTTGTATCGATATGCAAGAGTACGAACAAATCGTTTCTGAATTCTTTCAATTCTATCAACATGTATTTTATAATTGGGACACCACACAGTGCTGCAATATTCCAACTTACTCCTTACATATGTATTGTAGAGATAAATTACAGTGTCTAGTTTCTTAAAATTTTTGGTACATCTTAAGATAAAGCCTAACGCTTTGTTTGCTTCGGTAATAATTTTATCTATGTGGTCTGAAAAGCTCAGCTTACTATCCATTAAAACGCCAAGATCGCGAACAGGACTAACAGTTTTAAGTATATAATTAGATATGGAATAACTAGTTTCCAATTTATGACGTTTTCTAGTAAACTGTGTGTGCTGACATTTAGAGACATTAAGATACATTTTGTTTTCCTTGCACCAATCATAAACACTATCTATATCATCTTGAAGGCATCTTATATCATTGGTATTAGTAATTAATTTCAGAAGTTTGAGGTCATCAGCGAAAAGATAGATTTTACTATGTCTTATATTATGTGTTATATCGTTGATAAAAACGTTGAAGAACAAGGGACCGAGCGTAGATCCCTGAGGAATGCCAGATGTTGTGCAGTAAATACATTAGAAAGGTTGCCTAAAACTGCCACTCTTGAAATGCGGCTATTAAGGTAAGATCGACACCACTACAGCAGATTGCCGGAGATTCCAAAGGCTTCTAATTTTTTAATAAGTAGGGCATGGTTGACTTTGTCAAAGGCCTTTGAGAAGTCGGTATAAATAACATCTACTTGAGTATTATGATTGACCGCCTCTTTAAGTTCCGATGTGAATAGGACTAAGTTTGTGTTAGTTGATCTTTTAGCCATAAACCCATATTGATCCACAGTAATACATTTCTGTAGATGCCTGTACAAAACAGTGTGCACCAAGGACTCCAATAGCTTAGACAATACTGATAAAATGGATATTGGTCGATAATTCGTAATTAAGTCTTTTTTGCCAGCTTTATGTAACGGTATAACCCAAGCTTCTTTCCATTTATCAGGAAATTTGCCTGAATGAAGGGAATGGTTAAATAAAGTGGCAATTGGTACAGCTAAAATATCAGCACAGTTCTTTAGAAGCAACGGATGTATATCGTCCGGCCCTACACTATTATAAATATCTAAATTTTTTAGCTTTTTCTTTACTTCCTCTTGAGTAAATTGGATGATGTTAATTGTGTCGGATATTTCAATCCCAGCTGGCAGGTTACAGACATAACTATTACTATTATTTATATCTTTCTCAAACACTGAAGAAAAATGTGTAGCAAACATATTAGAAATATTTTCTACTTCTGATAACTCAGTATTATTTAAAATCATAGTATCTGGAAATGATGTGCAGTGCTTCGAAGGCTTTTTATGTAAGTCCAAAATGTCTTAGAATTTTTTACAAGTTCGGTCTCAATTCTAATAATATAATTATTGTAGCGCTCCTTAATAAGTTTGTTACAATCATCTCTTAAGTAAATAAACTCCATTTCATCTAGCGGGTTTTTATATTTTTTAAATTTTTTATGATAAATATGCTTTTTTGTTTAGTAAGTATAGTAAATGGGAAGAAAACCAAGTAGGGTATGAATTGTTTTTTTTTTAGTCATTGGAATATGTAATCTAATTGCATTGTATAAAATAGCGTAAAATTTTGTAATCATGTTATTAATATCATTACAGGAATTTAATTCATCTTCCCATGAAATTGAGTTAAGGTATTTTTATAGCCTCGTAATCACCTTTATGAAAATTAGGTCTAGAGGGGAGCAATATTTTTTTATTTATTTTAACCATTTTCATTGTAATGTCAAGAGCTGGATGATATTTATCTATGTTTCTTACCGGGTGTAAGTATTCAGAAATATTTAATATTCCTTCATTGCAAGGAATTAAATCAAGTAATTTATTTTGAATGTTTGTCACACAATTGTATTGTTTCATATCGCTTAGTGTTATAAAATCTATAAATTTGCATAAGAGTTCACGGCTTCCATACCCAGATGGCACAAGACAGTTGTCCTGGTCTTTGCTGGCGTAAGGTTCCCAAGATATGCCGCTCATATTAAAGTCCCCTGCAATTAATGTGTATTTGAATTCATCACTCGATTCTAGGATAAAACTTACCTTATCAGTAAAAATATTCATAGTGTTATCTGTTACTGGAGGTGGTAGATATACGGCACCCAATCTTATTGAGATCCTATTTTTACCCGAAAGGTCTGGCACTGTAATTACTACCTTCGCAATCACTTTCCCATTCAGTGATTCGCTTTGATATTAGCTGTTTCGATACGGCTATCAGTACACCCCCTCCTCTTCCTGCATTTGAAATCGAACACATCTCGCGATCCCGCCATTACACAGCATAGCCATTTACAAAAATTTCGGAATCGAAGCATCCATTACTAAGTCATGTTTCTGTAAATATGTAGGTATCATAATCGTTATTAAGTATTTGTTGACGTACCTCTATGAAATTCGTATTTAATCCTCTTACATTTTGATAGTAGTAGTGATCTGTTAACATACAAAATTAACTAGGAGAAATATATATATATATATATATATATATATATATATATATTTCTCTTTAGTTAATATATCTTTTTATTTGGTATAAGTTGTACTATACTTGTTATTAAACGTAGCACGAAGCAAGTTCACTTGCACGTTTGAATGCGGCATTGCAGAGCAACGATGACTCATGTACGTTGGCGAGCTCGCTTCACTCAACTATACGTTAACGAATTATTTTAAATTATAAACACTGATATCTCTTTATTCCACTCGAGTTTTTGAAAACAAATTTGGCCAAAATGTAGATTTTCTTCTAAACTTATTAAGAATGTTTTTTATATCACTGAACGATCACTTTTTACCACTGTTTTAAGATTAAGTTTACAGAGCAACGAGTAACAGGTATGTATAGATGCGCATCAAATCGATGATTCTCCTTATTAATAAACAAATTAACAGTCGAATGAATAAAATCTTTCAACTCTTTCAATTTTCTAGTAAAAAATAAAAAATCTGCTATAAAAAGCGAAGGCAAGACGAAATCTAAAAAATTATCAAATAATCTATCATATATCTATATAATATCGTTAGAAATCGGATTTAATTGGAAAACTAAAAAGTAAAAATAACATTAGCAATTGATAAGAAAGCCGACGAATAAACGTGTGCGCGCGTCACCACTCACAGACTCCGGGAATGTATTTTTCGATAAGTTCTTCGTAGTAGGGCCACAGAGCCTCAATATCTGGTACATTCTCACTCTTGGTATAGAGATCGTATTTACTGTAACAAAGTAAAAATAGTAAAAAACGAAGGCAGTGAACCAAGCCATGCACCATGCAATTGCTGTATACTCACTTAAACTCCAGCACCCACTGAAGAATCTGTTCATCCTTTTCGTTGGTTAGATGGCGGTAGTCCCCGCCGGCGTGCCACGGGTAGAAGGAGTGGTACCTGAGCACACAATGTCATGTTCAATCCATGCTGCTCGCGGAATGTTCTAGTGAGTTCTCAATTGTAGTAAAATATCTTTCTTTTGTTTAATAAATGCCTCATCAGCCTGACGGTAGGACGGCTCGGCTAAAAAATAATTTAGTTGTGGGTCGCTGGTTCGAATACCACACGGAGAAAGTATCACAATACAAATAGTTGGTTCGGTGTGGATGTTTGTTCATATTATAACAATAAAACGCTTCAAGATACAGGAGAAATTTCTAGTTAAAAGAAATATTTATATCTTCGTGTTTCTTGTAATTAAATATTTAGTTCTTGTGACGGTCATCCTTTTCGTCACACTTGTGTGTGATATGTCGAGAAGGTCTTAGAGCTTCCGATAGATGGCATTACAATCAACTCGTTTACGTTAAAGGTACGATATTAAGTATGATGTCGCCAATCTGCCCGGAAGAGTGATGATTAAGGAAAATCTTCTCTGCGATGGCGGACGCTCATCTTCAGCACATACCATGAACGGCTGACACAGTGTAATGTATTGTAAACAGTAAACAGTACGTGTAACACCAAAAATTTTACGTAGTAGACTTACTAGCTAGCCCGAAAGACCGAGCATGGTACACACTCACAATATATCAACGTGAAGTGCGATATAACACTGTTGAGGTGTTGAGTTTTTGTGGTGGATGGTAACATCTGGAAGTGGTTTTTCAGCTAAAAATATAATAATTAGTGACTGTAAGCCTCAGCATCCACTTAACAACACGTTTGTACTCGTTTGCCAGCAATGAATAGTATATAAATCCATTCAACAAATAAAAAAGCGATGACTTCTTTATTGGTTGTTCTCTGTTGAAGCCTCACTTTTGAAATCAGTATAATACTTACTTTAATGTAAACAATAGTTCTAAATAAATCCGCACTGAATGAAATGTTTTAAGTTTGACTTTGACTTACATTATATACTTACTACTCTTGAACGAATTAACCACCCACTATACTTATAAATTATGTGGTTCATGACATACAGATGGATATATCAAAAATTAAGTGTGAATTGTTAGAAATCTTTCGGTACCAAAATTGATAGGCTGTACCTTATCATGTAAAGCCCTTTTTCAGGCAACTTGGACTTGTTGTGAAGCAGGAACTGGTAGAGGTACTCGTCGTGGCTCCAGGACATCAACAAGTTGTCCAGTCCGCAGTGCGGCTGATATATTCCGTACTTTGTGCTACACAAATATTGTTACCATAAAGAAATGTGTAGAATCTTACAAAAATATCTAAATTTAAACAATATCCATAAAATGTTTAGTTGTGCTGAAAATACTAGTAAAACTATTTAGAAAATTTAAAGTGAATTCTAGGGGTGTGGTATATCACATCTAGGTACTAAAAGACTAAAATTTTGTTAAGAAGTTATTATATTTTGAAAGAAGATAACGCATCAGCAATAGAAACAGAAACTTTTTTATTCGATATGGATTATAAATATTACCTATTCAAAGTCACTCATAAGTGTAATTTACACTGGTTCGGTAAATATCTCTGTTTGAACAAGATCCTGATTCTGGATGCGGCAAGAGCTCTTGGGTGATGAATAGATTGATTTAAATGAAATCAGTAACATAAATCTTGCTTTTAATCGTTTTATATTTGCATATAAGTATTTAATCATGAAACAAATATTTTTGTGCTGAAAGATGAATGCAACTGGAACTAATATTTAACGTTTAATGATGATATTGTATAATGAAGTTTTAACCGTTAGGCGCGGGCTACTTGTCACTGTTGCGTTTCGACTTACGGTAGAACGCATCAGCCTCTGTCTCGGTAAGAACCAGCAAGAAAGCCGACACTTTGTTTTGAAAATAAAATAGCTTACATTCATATATTAGTTGGGCTGAAAAGTTCGTATAGAGTCTACGAGATGACGCCACTAGAATAAAATTCATATGATTTTTAGTTAGTACCAACTTTCAAAAGAAAGGTATATAACATTTGACAGATGTCTGACTATTAAATTGTGAGATACAGCTATATGTAGTAGAATAAGTCTATTGATACACCATTTTGACTGAAGCAACTTTTGTTATTTAAACTAAATGAATAAAAAAGAATTTCGTGTGTTAAAGAAAACACTATGTTTTTGATTAAAAAAATTTCTGCGGATACCAAAAACTGGCTTGATGAGTGCTATCCGGACTCTGCGCCGGGCGAAGCAACCATTCGTAAGTGGTTTGCCAAATTCCGTACAGGTATGAGCACCGAAGACGATGAACGCAGTGGACGTTCAAAAGAGGCTTTTACAGACGAAACCTAAAAAAATCCACAAAATGATTTTAGAAGATCGTAAATTGAGGTTGCTTTGTGTAGCTGATACTCTAAAGATATCAAAGGAACGTGTTGGACATATCGTTCATGAATATTTAGGTATGCGAAAGCTATGTGCAAAGTGGGTACTGCGCGAGCTCACAATCGACTAAAAACAAGAACGTGTCGATGCTCCAGCGTAATGTTTGATGCTGTTTTATCGCAATAGAAGTGAATATTTGCGTCGATATGTCACAACAATCGATGAAACATGGATCAACCACTACACTCCTGAGTCCAGTCAGCAGCAGTCACGTAGACTGCACGCGATGAACCGATTCGTTGATTGAACCGAATCTTTAGATTCGGTTCATCGAATCTGGATTGGTGTGGAAAAACTCGGCCGGTAAGGTTATGTCGTCCGTATTTTGGGATGCAATGCACATGGAATAATTTTCATCGACTATTTTTGAAAGGGAAAAACCATCAACAGCGACTATTATATAGCGTTATTGGAGCGTTTAAAGGACGAAATCGCCAAAAAACGGCCCCATTAGAAAAAGAAGAAAGTATTGTTCCATCAAGACACTGCGCCGTATCAGAAATCGATGAAAACGATGGCAAAATTGGCTTTTTACTGGAATCGAGGTATTTCATTCAAGTCCTCAGAGATGACTCATGTGCATTTTGATTCTTAATCAAGGATAGATGTCGATGTCTATGCGCCTCAGCACCCTCGTACCATCAGGTGGACTGTGTGCTCGTTTGTTAAAAAAATAAATAAATTCACAACCAAATCAATTCATTCTTACTTATATTTTGGATTGTAAGTGTCCGCGTTATCTTTGAAGCTCTCAGGTCCGTATACGATGGAGTCAGCCCACCTGCAGCCGACAGGGAACGTGTCGCCCACCACGCACCACTGCGGCTCGCCATAGAATGCCATTACCTAATTATAAACAAAAATAAATTAATAGTAAAACAACATTTTTTATTTTCTAGTTATAGCTGGACATGTTTTCAAGTTTGTTCATTTGTTCATTTGTGTGAAGACTAAGATGGAATGCCTCGTTTTTAATAAAAAGGGTCGCATCCTTACCTTCCTAGTTAGTTGCATGTGCTCATGGACTGGAGTGTCCGCTCACCATGAGGTGAATGTTAGTTCGTCTTTCACTTCGGTCTTATATAAAAAAGTTAGTTTACCATCGGATATAACAACGATAAATATTATTTATTATGTTATGTAAGACATCAATTTACTTCGATGTTTACTTTGCTGACAATATATAAGATTATCCACAATATAATGACTTATTATCCTATATTACAATGTGATTACAATTATATAATGTAAACAAAACATTCACGATCGGTACGTTAGAATCGTACTATTTAAATATGTGTGTGTGCTGATCATTAGGTCTCTGAATCGAATCGCAGGTCGGTTCATAATCTTCCTGTCAAGACATTTTCAATAGCAGCCCGAAGTTGGTGGTTTTCAAGCCATTGATCCTGCGCCTGATCTTCCTCGGGTTGTCGGATTGCCGCCCGTCGGACTATGAAAGTGTGGGAATAGAGGGTTGCACGTGTGCTTGCACACGTGGCGGCGCTGTCGTTGCGCCGCAAGCGAAACTTGCCGCGAAAGCGAAAGGTGACTGCCCGGGGAGCGGCCAACGCTCCGTAGATGATAGATTTCGGAGATGTTCTATATATACTGTTTATGATTCGGAATGTCGATAGCGTGATTTAGGCTTCGGTGTGTTTCGCTTGCGGCACGACGACAGCGCCGCCACACACATATACTCGGGCACTATGATCCTGTCCTGGGCAATTGTAGTCTGCGTTGAAACTGTAGCCGCTGTAGCCGAATGCTGCAGGTCATCATTGTATACCAACTACCACCAGAGTTACCCAGTCGCACATTTAATTATTTTTGTTTGTTTTGACTGGCATCCGTAACTCAGTATTCAATTACAGTTATGATTCAGCTATGTGGCGATCAACTATATGTAGGCAATACTAATTTTTTACGGATTCTATCGCGTTTATTTAACTTTTTAAATATCCGACGTTTCGAGCGCTTACAACACCCATGGTCACGGTTAAAATTTAACTTTGTTCCGATCTACACAGTATGAACTTATGGTATCTTGAAGTCTTGCAGTTGTATGCTTGGGTTGGGATTTAATTTTATTTATTATAGGATCCCAAGCAGATGGTAGCACCCAGCCATCTTCTCTATTGAAATTAGGATATTTTTCTATTTCAATAGCGTCGCGAATAATCCTTGGAAGGAATCGGTGTTCTTTAGCAAGGATTTGTGGTCTATCAAATCTGATGTAGTGACGGGGGCGACCCTGTACGTGTTCACAGACTGCAGACTTACAAAAAGTTAAATAAACGCTATAAAATCCGTAAAAACTAGTATTATTTAAATGTGTAGTGTTCGCGTAAATATAAGAAATCATGTATATAATGTAGGATCAATATCTAACGTTATGTCCCCAATCATTACTTCTATATCTTCGTTATTATTATACATATTTGCCTAACATATTACTTTTCAATAGTTTGCATTCAAGTCGATTAAGTCTATATTTAAAATGTTATTCACCTTGCCCAAATCATGTATCAATCCAGTGAGATGAAACCAGTCCTCATCGGGATGATCCTGGCGGATGCGTTCAGCGGTCTGGAAGGCATGCACGATATTTGGCAAATCCGTGTCGGGGTCCGATTCATCCACCAACTCGTTCAACTTGATCAACGCATCCTTCACCGTTGACTTGAAGTGGTTGAATTTCAACCATTTCTCGCGTTTCTCTGTTACCATTAAGGTTTTTTTAAATATATTTATCATTTCAAACTTTAATCTATTACAAAAACATGTGAAGTCCACCAACACGCAGTGGGGTCGACTGGCTGCTACCGTCTTAGTCCTAAAACTGTTTCCGAATTGAGAGGAGGTCTGCCCACACTGGGAAACTGTATACACTGGGTGACTTAAATGTATCGGCTATATCTTACGACGAGTGTCCAACAGCAGCTTGATTCCTGGCTACCGCCACCACTTATTATTAAATTACGTAACTTAAAATTAAGTTGAAGTTAATTTAATTATTTGACTACTTAATACATATAAATCAGGCTAAGTACACCGGCGACGGCTTGTCCCACGCAGCTATCACATGGCTAACTTTTACAATATAATATACATTTGTGCCATTTGCTGTAAAAACTATCTGGGCAATGAAGTTCCTAAAGGAATTGCATTCACGGCTGGTCGTCGCTGCTGCTGATAAGTGCGCTAGTTCTTTCCTCTGGGAGAGCCGTGGTGGCTCAGGGTCTAAGCAGTCTCTGAAAATATCACAGTACGCGAGCATCCGAGTTTGAATCCCGCTGGCACTAATGAAATTGTTAGTTACAATTTTAATTGCTGATATACTACGTGCTCGGTGGTGAAGGAAATCTACGTGAGGAAACCTGCATGTCTGAGAAATAAAAAAGTATATATGTATATAGAGGACATGAGAAGTTCGCTAACACATTATTATTATTATTATATACATTATTAAATTAAACTAAATTTCCTTACGCTTAACCAAATCCACGGTGACGTTGGTGTGCATCGTGAAGTAAGTCCTGCGCACGCGCTCTTTGATGGGATCAGCATCATCCACGGAGTAGTCTCGAAACGCGTCGATTGGCTTGTCGTTGAACGTCGGCTCTGGACGGAGGAGCTGCGATGGGTCGATCATCGACACCGGACTTTTTTGCTATAGCACAAAAATAATTAACAAAGTATTTAAACATTAAATGTTAATTATAGCACAATCACCTATGTAGGTGTGTCCGCGGCAGAGCCACGCTGCAACTACGAGTATATAATGGCTGTAGCACGAATGGGTCGGCTCGACCACGGTTACGTTCTTGCAGTATAACAGTCGAATTTTTTATTTTGTAAAAAAACTACTCCTACACTACAACTATTTACAACACTATAACTATTTACTCCCGTATCGTAGGCAGTTCACATACCTACATAAATGGTATAAGGACAAACATTCAGACCCGGAACATTTATTTGTAGATCATACAAATATTTGCTCCGTGCGGGATTCGACTCCGCAACCTTCAGCGCCTTAACCGGTTGCCAAGCCACTGCACCACGGAGTCAGCTTAACAAAACAAAAGCTAAACAAAATTAAACCTTAATGCTACGGCTATTCGTACGGTAAGTGTAGAGAACCGGAGTTACCCTGTTTAATCATCGGGGATGATAAGACATCTGCATTTTGATTCTTAATTGAGGAAAAATATAGAGATGACTATGGGCCACAGCATCCACTTATCATCAGGTGGACTGTGTGCCCCTTCGTTAACCATATCATATTAAAAAAATGTCAATATATGCCAACGGATCGAGTATAAGCTTTGAAGTAGGTTTAGGTTTTGTGCCTTTTTTATTCCTAATCAGCTTTATAAAAAATGCAATTGCCCCCTTTTTTCTTGACTTAACTCTCCCTTATTCATTCCTCAGACCAACAAATAAAGATACACAGAGCACTGCGTACATTTCTAGTGAAGCCGAAACTATGCTCATCTTTTAGATACGCACTCACGCACACGTCTTCCTTTTTACTTTCTTTATCACCCCATAAACTCAATACTGGACGCACACATATGCGCCTAAAAACACGTTGTTAGTTGTAAATTATTTTAGATACATACATTGTGTGCTTGATTGTGTGTTCTCATAATAAGTTGGGCATGGTTTTGGCTTGATTTTTGATTCAATCAATAGATTTTATATTGTACACCAATACACATTAAAACCAGAAATACATTTTGCGTAACGATCTGTTGTTTATAATGAATGGCGATTAGGGAAGGTGTATATAAATTAAGAAATTGGGCTGAAGAAAAAAATATAACAACACAACTCGATGACAGTTTTGGCTATGAGAAATGGTTTTGAGGTACGATATATGCAATCAAGTATGGGAAGTATAATAGGAAATATTAGAGCTTCAAATAATACGTTTTGAGTAGACTTTTAAAGGAAAAAAGGGACTGAGTACGTCGAATGTATATACACGGTTATTTTTGAAAGAGTAGCAAAATTTTAAACTTAAATTTAAATATATAAATAGTGATATACCGTTATTGCTGATTTTGAAAATACGAGTAAATAAGGCTTCTTCTTTTTTTTTTTTGAAATTATCTCAAATTGAATGTGATTTATGGGCAACAACAGTTTTGCTACACTATTTCACATATTTATATTGTAAAAAAGCATTTGTGGTAAACAAAGTCTGTCGGTTCTCGAAAGACGTGCCAAGACGTGCAAAAGACGAGGCCTACGTACAGCAGCAGACTGCCGCAAGCTGATGACGACGATGACCAGTAAAGTAGTTAGGCTCTGTACAGGACTCGTCTAGAAGTATGTTAGTTGTTTAGGCTCGAATTATCGAAATAGATATAGATGATTATTTATCAAAAGTGTTTTCTTCTCAGTTTTTTTTTAAAGAATAAAATAAAGAATTAAAAATGTATCATGTAGCCACTGCACCCATATGACAATGAAACCATTTTGTTTATTTATTTAAGAGCCTAATAACAGGTCACAGCCAGCTTTTATAATTAGCTTGACCAGGTTTAGAAAGTATTCATGAATGAAATGTAATTTTTTAATTCAGTTTTCAATAGTCTCAAATTTTGTTGTCTTAAGTAAGACCGAGTATTCTCACTTTCCTAGTGAGATCACAAATCATGCATTGTCAATGCTTCATCAATTGTTTTTTTTAATCAAATTATTTCTTCGGAGTGGAAACGTATAAAACAAAAATCACATAAAATTGAACAGTTTCAATAAGTCAGGTAGGTTTTAGTTTTCAGTACTCACCACCTCGGTGGCCATTCCTTAAGATTATTTTCTAAAACCGGAGTAAGCACTGTAGGCTGACAACGTGTTTCAACGTTATCCCAGTCTTTATATACAATCGTCACACATCTCGAGTGCGCACTAATTCCTGATAAAGACAGCTTTAATTTATCCGTCAGATTCGTTGAGATTATGTACTACGTAGTAAGTACAGTATACTTCAATGATCAGATTAGCGTAATCTTGGGAGAATCCACGTATTTGTCGTTGCTCTGTGGATACTGATAGTTTTATTTAAATTTCTTTTTCTACCTTATTTCTTCTTTACCTTGTGAAACACGCGGGAAATCGATAGACGCAGGTGGCTCAGGGCTGTGTGGGCAGCAGTGGATTTGCAAGCGACTGTAATAATGATGATGGTCTTTTAATCGGATGGATGTAATTTACTGCAACTTATTTTTTATTACGTATTTATATATTGTTGATTTTGTTGAAAAAATTTAATAATTGTGCAGTAACAAACTAACTTACAGTCCACTTAATGGTAAGTTTTATTTTTTATAGAATAAGGGTGACCAACGAGCACACAGTCCACCTGATGGTGAGGGTATGCTGTGGACATTTATCATCGATTGAGAATCAAAAAGTAAATGCATTGTCACCCCTGAGTACTAAGATGAAATGCCTCGTTTCCAGTAAAAAAGGATCTCTGAATCTCTACACTCATCACACGATACACATACACCTGCAACTAACTTTAAACAAAGAAGCCCACTGAGGACTAGAGTGGAATTCCTGACAGCCTGTGTCACACTAGACTAGTGTCGAATAGTATGCCTACTGACGTTTTGACTCTATATTGTCTTCATTTCCGTATTGTGTATCCAGACAATAGGCATAACCTTTTTTAAATCATGGAACTTGCCAAAATTCGCCAACAAGCATGCTGTTCTCAAAGAAAACCAAAATAAAATAACAGCTCGAGGCTTCTGCGTTTCGTATGGTAAGTGTAGAGAACCGGATACCCAGCGGCATTAAGCTGCTATTTTACGCTGGTATTCTATGAATGGGTGGACCTTTTCTGGTCGAGCCATAGCATTCATTCTACAGTCATAATATAACTGCGGCATGACTCTACCACGTGAAGACCTATTTTATTTATTTGATGAGTATTAGCTTACTATTGTTTAATACAACGTGTCATCAACGAGATCATCCATATAACTCAATAAATCCCTCTACAACAAGTGATTAAGATTATATTGCAATTAAACAATTAACGCTTGTTTGTATACATTTATTACTAATTACTAGTACCCACTACTATCCCAGTGACTGTGGCGCTGAGGGCGTAGGGTTCGAATTCCGTAAAGAAATAGTGTCTATATGGCCTACATATAATTCTTCGGGGTCTGGATGTTTGTCTGATTGAATGAAGTCTCCACAATGCAGGAGAAAATCCCACTGTGGGAGTATTGTAAGAACATAAATTGCACAATTAGGACAAACATCCAGACCCTGAAAAATTATTTATTGGCCATACAAATTCTTGTACCGTGTGGGGTCCGAACCCTCGGCCTCAGCACCGCAAGTCAAAGTTAAGCCTCTGGGTCAAGAAACAGTCTATAAAATAAAAAATAAGTGCCTTTTCAAGCTATTTGTTTTACCGGTGTATACTATTCCTGTAAGGCTGCATTCGAGCGCATTTACGACCTCTTTATTGTAATAAGTTTGGCTAGTAAATAGATACAATACATAAACACTCACGCCTGTCACCTAAAGGGGTAGGCAGAGACTACGGACTTCCATTTGGCACGATCCTGACACAGCTCTCTCACCTCCTTTACATCGATTTATGACATACCTACGCATACATTTCTACGTGGTAGAGCCACGCTGCAGCTATATTACAGTTGTAGCACGAATATTTCGGCTCGACCGGGACAGGACCACGGTCTCACAGAATTCCAGCGTAAAATAGCAGCGTAATTCTGCTATGTTTTGTACGTACAGTGTAGATACTCTCTATCTTAGTCCTCAGGGGTGAGAACGCGTTTACATTTGGATCCTTAATTGAGGATAAATGTGGATGTCTATTGGCCACTGCACCCTCTTACCATCAGGTGGACTGTGTGCTCGTCTGTCACCCAATGCTATGCTTTCCTCATTCATTGTTTCTACATGGCCAAAACACCGAAGCATTACTTTCTTAATCTTGATCACAATATCATCTTGCAAACCACACTCTGCTTATCACACCGTCATTCAGATTCTGCCCTAACATTCTCCTTAATGACCGCATTTCTACAGCAGTTATTTTATTTTCGTGCTTCTGCTGACACATCTAACTCTCAGCACGATACATTAAGGTCTAACACATTATTCTTATTTTCGCTCTAACAGTTGAATGAAATTTTGTATTTAAAAAATGTTTTTGTATTGTCGGATGCACTTCGGAGAGTGTACGCACGAATTTCATTACTTGATTCCTCCCTCTCCCTTCCACTATCGGACAATCAGTCTCCACCCTTTCATTGTTGACTTACCACGTATTCGTACCAAATGGTTTCTATATCGATGGGTGAATAGTGAATTTGTGCGGCCCTGGGCCAACGACTTGGACCTTACCAAATTAATCAAACTAATCAAGTCAAAAAACTGTTTTCTAAAAAATTACATGACTTATATGCACAAACAGCAACTGTAAAACATTATTGCATAAGAAATTAACAGGTTATCATCATCATCATCATTACAGCCCTTCACAAGTCCACTGCTGAACATAGGCCTCCCCCAAGTAATGCCACAAAGCACGGTCCTGAGCCACCTGCATCCATCGACTTCCTGCATGTCTTACCAGGTCGTCACTCCATCTAGTGGGGGTAGTGGTCATTATAATTACACAAACAGGTTATGTGTAATTATAACAAAGTACCCGGTTGACCGAGCTTTGCTCGGTATTTTTCGCTCGGTTTTTTTAAATCGTGTGTTTTGGAAATTATATTTAGATACAAATTACATACTGATAAAATACGAATAATATTTTTTGATCGTAGCCACATAATAGAAAAAAAACTGAACTGGTTATTTGAATAAAAAATCATGAGTGCAATTAGTTTAATTTAAATTTTCGTGTTTTTAAAAAATACAAAAAAAGGGCTCGAAAAAATAGATTTTCTCAAAAAAGAAAGGAACTCAAAAAAAAAATTAAAAAACGTCGGTCGGTCCGGGCTGAACCATGGTATTACGATTTTGTGACCGCCCAATATACCAATTAAGCTATTTATAATCATTAATAAATTGTCAAAATTTACCTTCTTATGCTAACGACATTGTAGCAGTTTTTCATTGCCTAAAAACACGGACAAAAAGACATTTTCTAAAAACAAATCCTAGCTAGATCGATTTATTGCCTCCGAAACTCCCCGCACACAAAATTTTATGAAAATCGTTGGAGCCGTTTCCGAGATTCCAATTATATATATATATACAAGAATTGCTTGTTTAAAGGTATAGGATAAATTAAAAAGAATTGTAGATTTTTGCGCTGCAAATTGTTTTATTTGGTCATCACATTGTTAATCCTTTGTTAATTAATCCTTTGTTAAATCACAATTTATGGAAAAACTATTCAATTACTTAGTCGACTGTTCAACATCTTTGACCTATATTTGTTTTCTTTATACAACATCTTAGACAAACGGCGCTCCGCTTCACAGCTAACGCTAATAATAAAAAAAGCTAATGTTAAAAATCTATAAAATAGTAAATAGTATAGTGGCAAAATATCAACAAGTTTATTTTCATTAATGAGCATAAAAACTTCACTGCAAAAGGTGTAAGACTCTAGTCTTAGTAATTTCAAGTTCACTGTCACGAAATGTTCGTCTACGTCATCGGTATAATAATCAATAATATTATGTAGGTACACTTTCCAGATCCGATTCCATGTTGCCTTGCAAATCCGTTAATAATTTGAATTTATTACTATCTGTCTCATAGACTTGGCATCTTTTATTTAAAACCAAAATCCAAAACAGCTTATCTAACGCAACGTTTAGCATGTCTCTTTAAAAATGTTGACTCTTGAGTGTAACTGAAAGTTTTGAAGTAATATCGTCTCTTGTATATATCACTGAAGGCTGCTCTCACTCTCTTTCTCCTCATATATATTTAATTTTTGATTCGTTTGGTGTCGTATGTTACTAATGACTTAATATTTATATAATATTTTTTTTAATTAAAAAAATATTTTATATTGATATAATATTTAATTACTTTGTACGTAGTTTAAAAGTATATGTCAGGTAAATGGGGAGCCTGCTAATTTGGACTCCCACACAACACCTCAGGGAGGAAGGAGCTGGCTGAAAAACAGCTCTGTATGAGATCTGTATCTCGTTACAGACAAAGCTGAGCCGTCTCCTGTTCAAAAATATAATGTTCTTTTGTTTTAACGTGAATGTAACTGTGTGTTTTAGAGGCAATAAATTTATTATTATTATTAATTTATTATCTTGGGGTATCTACATAGTTTTCTCATCTGGTTGGGTTCTATAAATATATAATTATAAATGAAAATGAAAAAATAAATATACATAAATATCAATAACATAAAATAAATATAAAAGTACATAAATAAATAAAATCCCAACCAGATGGAGGCCCTCGGCAGGGGAGACCAAACGGCCGAGGGTTAGGGGGAAAGGGAAAGAAACCGGCGGACGATGCGGGCGGTATCGAGGAGCACCGCCATCTGCATTTGAACCTGGAGCGGTCCGCCACGTAGTCCCAGCCGCCTCAGATGACTCGAGAGGCTGACTGGGATTAGCCCATTCGCAGAGACGACTACAGGAATAATTTCGGTCGGCTGACCACCCCACATGTCGGTCACCTCGTGAGCCAGGTCCAGATATTTTGTTTGCTTGTCTGTTTCGGCTTTCACGAGGTTCTCGTCATACGGAACGGTAATGTCGACCAAAAATATCCTTGACTGTGCCCGGTCCATCAGCACAATATCAGGCTTATTCGCAAGA